TTAAGGGTTTGCAGGATTTAAGCAGATCAATGGAGGACAGAGGGTCTTCTTGGAGAGGTCTCTTCCATAGGGCTGCCATGGGTCAAGATCGACTCGAGGGCAGTTAACAAACAAAGGTAAGGTGTATATATGTAGTAAATAGGATATGTTGTTTATGGAACTGATGAATGTGGAGGAAATGAATGTATGCGTTTTTATATATTTTCATACGTTTTGAATGATTTTAATTGAAATAACATTCAATTTTTTAAAAAGAAGCCAAGATGATCAAGCTGAGTCTGTCGTATTTTGGCCACATCATGAGAAGGCATGACCCAATAGAACAGAAAATGAAATGCTAAGGATGGTAGAAGGCAGCAGAGAGAAAGACCTCCAGATGGATGGAGGTGACGGCCATGGCTTTGCAAGAACGAAGCAGAGCAGTGGAGGACAGGGAGTCTTGGAAATGTCTCATTCACAGGGTCATCGTGAGTAGCGATCGACTCGAGGACAGTAAACAGTAAACAACAACAACAACGAGTCTCATGGCAAGAGGCTGAAAAAAAGCATGCCCATGATTGCTCTGCAGAGGGGCGGGATATAAATAATAATAATAATAATCATTATTATTATTAATTGGGTACATGCCAACAAGACTCCATACCTTATCAATGATCATGATCAGCCTTCTCCGAAGACACTCATTTTCCGTTTTCAAGCTTGACACGGTATCCCAAAAGACAGCCATGACCTTTTTAAGGTAGGCGTTATCCGTCACGACTTGTTGCAGGTTCTCTTTCCTCCATTTGTTGTCGGCTAGCAGCTGTTCTTTCTCACTAAGCTGCAAGTTTAGCTCCGCAGTCAACTGTTCCACCTGGCATCAAAAGAGGAGGACAAGAGAACCGTATCTTGGGTTTTATCCAATTTCCTGGCCACTGGTTGAGATCAGATATCATCCAGTAAAATCAATGACTCTACACTAAGCTTAACTACACCTGGATCCACACAACCCCTTAATATACGAGGGGGTATCGTAAAGTAATAATGATCACCTGGAAGCTATGAAATTTTGTCAACATTGGTCCCTAGGTGCATGGATAATCTAAAGAGGAAGGTTAGTATCCTGGGTATGTTATCTGAGTTTAGTTTCAGAGCTTGGAAAAGAGGGGTTTTGGAATTGCAGCTCCCAGAATCTGTAGTCCCAGAGTCCAAAAAAGAAAATTTCCCAAGCTTTTTTAGTTCCCATCAAAGTTTTAGCCAAGACAATTGGATGGAAATAGCCCAGACAAGGGAGCCAACATGATGTAGTGGTTTGAGCGTTGGACTATGACTCTAGAGACCAGGGTTCGAATCTCCGCTCAGGCATGGAGGCCCACTGGGTGACTGGGTGAGTCACACTCTCTCAGCCTCAGAAGACAATAATGGCATAGCCCCTCTGAAGAAACGTGCCAAGGGAACCCCATAATAGGGTTGCCTTAGGGTCGCCATAAGTCGGAAACGACTTGAAGGCACACAACAAAGCCCAGGCAAGAACAATTAAGTATTTTTTTCCCCAAAAAAACACAGTTCAAGCCAAGGAAGAAGAAAAATCAAGAAGGAAACTCTTCCATCCAGGACCAGAAAGTTTTTATTGCTAAGCTGCTCGATTCCCTTCAGGATTTTTCGTTTCAATCAGGGAAAGTTTTAGCAAAGAGGAAGGATTACAAGAATCTTTTTTTGCAAGGAGCACTTACTGCATGCTCCATTAAACATGACCCAAGTGCCGTGGGTCCACTTACTTTCTGACTTGCCTCTTTATTTGCTTGGTCTTGCATTTCTTGGCTGTCCGAAAGCTGAGTAGACTTGTCCGAAAATGTGACGCCCTTCGCCTCCTGTAGAATTTCAAGGCATCCTTTTGTAAACCCAGTAGTAGCTCTCAGTCGCTCTTGCAGTTCCAGGTTCTTCAAAACAAAGAGACAAAGCAATGGATACCAACACCTGAATCCCATGCCATTATATTTCCCATTTCTATATGTGTGGCTGTGAACACTGGACAGTGGAGAAAGCCAATAGGAAGAAAATCAACTCATTTGAAATGTGAAATGTGATGGAAGAGAGTTCTGCATATACCATGGACTGCCAAAAATACAAATAAATGGGTGTTTGCATTGCAGGTGGATTTACTCCATCAAGGAAGCCTTGAGATTGCAAGATCTGAACAGGTTAGGTGAACCGGGCTGCATCCGCACTGCAGAAATAATCCAGTTTGACACCGCTTGAACTGCCATGGCTCAATGCTATGGAATTTTGGGAACTGTAGTTTGTTGTGGCATCAAGGTTCTCTGGCAGAAAAAGCTAAATGTCTCACAAACTACAATTCCCAAACTTCCATAGCACTGAACCATGGCAGTTCAAGTGGTGTCAGACTGGATTATCTCTGCAGTGCGGATGCAGAAACTTGGAGGTCTCTCATTCAAAGGCTCGACATAACATTTATTTATTTATTTATTTTCATTTTTATTTGCTGCCTTTCTCCCAAAAAGGGACCCAAGGCGGCTCACAAGATAAAAACACGTTAAGAACAATTAAAATAACCTAGTTAAAACAGGATTAAGATAAAAGTTTTCTGTCTTTTAAATCAAAGTTAACTTGATGGCGATTATTAGTAACAGCAAGCCTTAAGTGACATCCACATTATTTGGGAAAAGTTACTTTGGAATACAACTTCCAGAATCCTTTAACCACCAAACCGGCGGCTACAGGGTTTTGGGAGATGTAGTTCAAAATTATAAAATTCCCCAAGTTCTTATGACTACATTAAGACTGGGATGTTTAATAATAATAATAATAATAATAATAATAATAATAATAATAATAATAAAGGCACTCACAGCTGCCACTGTCTTCTCTATAGTCTTCGAAAGGCCAACCATGTTGCGGTTTGCGATATCTCTGTCGGACTGAAGGTCAGCAACCAAGAGTTTCAGGTAACTTTTTTCCTGGGCGATGATTCGTAAGCACTCCTCAGCCCCCCGAATCCTCTGGAACAATTCCACTTTCTCCTTCTGCAAGGCCTCAATGGTCACCTCTAGTTGCTTCATTTTATTCATGGTTGACTCTGCATTCACAAACTGAAGAACAGCTGATGGCGGTCAAGGATGCTGGGTCTTATAGTCGGTGGAGTTGATCGATAATTCCCCTGAAAGGAATGGGTCAGATCAATCCTAAACATTTATTGCTGGTACCCTGCTGCCAACCTACTGGAAGGGTGTTACCAATACTGACTTTCTCCATGCCCAAATACATCTCTTTTTGGGAAATTAAGCAGGATCAGACCTGGTGAGTAAATGGATGGAAAGCCACCAGGGATCTCCAGATAGGAGACATCCCATAGAAGTCATATTCCACAAGGCTTAAGGAATGGAGCAACTGAAAGTCAAGAAGCTCTTGGTCCAGTCTCCGTTTCTCATAAATCCATAAGGTTGGCTGCATCCACATTGCAGAAGTCATCCAGTTTGACCCCGCTTTTAACTGCCATGGCTCAATGCTATGGAATTCCTGGAATTGTAATTTATAGTTCTGGTTCTACAGTTTCCAGAATTCCATAGCGTTGAGCCATGGCAGTTAAAAGCGGGGTCAAACTGGATTATTTCTGCAGTCTGGATGCAGCCATAGGCAGGTCTTAAGAACAGATGAGGAGGTTCCCACCCAAGTTAAAACAGCCTTATAGGATTGTATGTATGTTGTTGCTATTCTCCTTCAACTTATGGCAACACTATGAA